CCACCCCTCCCTCCCTCCCTCCCTCGTATATTCTGATATTACTTACGACAGTTCTCTTCATCTGAACCCTTAGCGCAGTCGTTCATGCCATCACAACGCCACAAGAATGGAATACAGTTACCCCTTTCTTCCACACAAGTGAATTTATCTGCAGGGCATGTCGATGGTTCTAAGAAAAAAGGTGGTAAAGAAGCTATTAAAAGTTAATGGAGCTTGAAAACTTTCTTTAACAGATATGAAGTCAAAACCATGCAAAGTAAACACAGGATAGAATGATTGGATGTTCGTGTGACATCCACAGGGCAAAAGAAGAAGCTTTGTTAAGCTGCACATACCTCCACAAGTTCGGTTGTCCTCTTTTCTGACCATGGCACCAGTGCACGAACACTTTGCAGTGTTATCTCGACCAATCAGACATATATGCGTGCATAAGTTATTGATACAAGGATGATTGGCTGGTGAAAAAAAACAATGCAATACATTATACACTGAGAATTTATATAAATTATATATTTGTACTGCGGTTGTAATGTATCTAATTGAGCTGATCCTCGCAGTATATCGAGCAACTTATGCAGCTGCAAATTTTAAGACTTTGCACCATCTTGAAAGGTAGCCATGCCTTTGCATCGAAGCGAGACGAACGGTGAGCTTGCAATGATAGAGACATGTGAATAATTGTCCAAGGTGTTAAAAAAAGGTCTCTATCATTGCAAGCTCACCGTTCGTCTCGCTTCGATGCGAAGGCATGGCTACCTTTCAAGATGGCGCAGGAAACTGTGAAGGGGACTATTGGAACATTAAACATTATTTTACGTTATAAATTATTGTCTGGAACATTATATAATATTGCGCCATTTGTTTTTGTAACCGGAATACTCCAGTTTCGAGTTCTCTGTTGCTCAGGGTTGCCCTCGATTTTGTGCAGAATATTCATGAGTTCCAGTGAAAGTCGTCCGTGGAATTCCAAAGTGTTTGTATTGCTGGTGTTGTGCACCGATTCTTTACTTTATCGTTGGTACTTGTGAATATTTAGACACTGATTCGAGGCTAAGCCTGAGTAAATGAGTTGGTAATTAGGGAAAACAGCCGTAATTTGGAATTAGAAAAGGTCTCTTTTTCGGGTTTTTTTCCCGGGTGAATGGTGAATGAACATTTTACTTCTAGCTCTATTGATGGTTTTCACGGCGGCCATGTTGGAGGAACTTAACAAACGAATTGTCAATGAATTCTTTTGTTATATCCTCCAACATGGCCGCCCTGTCTTTTGTTATTTAATTCTCTTGGGAATGGTTGAAAACCATCAATAGACCCCTTAATTGCAGCAATTCCTAGAGCCGCTAAATTCAGAGGACAATTATTCTCATAATAATAATAAAATTTCATTGTTTAGTTCTCTAAACTGAGCTGCACTGGGAATATCCTTCAAGTTAGAAAAGTAGAATTGGGCTTCCTGTTTGTCAAATACCACAGGGAACCCACGACTTACCCATCTTCTTTCTTCGGTCTAACGCTACAAGATCAGTCAAGTCATCAATTCCAGCCTGGATTGTCCTCATCTCACTGCCACTTTCCTTCCTCACTCGTTTAATTACTCGCGCTTGGCTGTCGATCCAGTAAAGAAACTGTTCATAGACAGCGATGCCCACAGGTTTTAGAAGGTTCTTCTCGACCAGTACTGCACGATTGGCACCTATCAATCAAAATGGAGGGATTTGTTTAAATCAATAACGAACTAGAAGGCTGATACTGATGGTTCAAATGTTGGTGTCAGTCCCGTGCCGTGACTGCATCATTTCACCTTGACAAGAGGTCTAGTCAACAGAGAACAGGGCTATTGCTTAGGCTTTCTGTGGAAGAGCCCGAGCTATAAAATGGGCTTTGTTTTTCTATCCGTCTCCAGCCTGCAGCGCACGGCTTTATTTACCTGATAGATCAGAAACTTCAATCTTCTTCAGCGAAGTGTCCGTCCAGTAAAGCTTCTCGCCATCAATATCTACAGCTAGGCCTTCAGGCATCGTTATGGTAGAACTCACAATAACTTGTGGGTTGGTACCGTCCATCGAAGCACGAAGAATCGCTGGTCCATTTGAACCAAGGTCTGTCCAGAACATTAACCTGTGAGGAAAAAAAAAGTTAAAAATTCCGGTCTCGTTTGGAATTGTAAACGCCTAATGTCCCTAATGGCATTTTTTAAATGGATGACTGCGCATTGGAGTCAGTGTTTGGCCCTCACTAAAGGCTGGTAATGAGATTCATGAGATTCATTTAGCTGATTGATACCAAGCAAGAGAATACTCTCTGGATGATAGCAAATGACGGGCAGTGTTTGCCTGTCATTGAAGGCTGGTAATTAGATTCATGAGATTCATTCAGCTGATTGATACCAAGCAATAGAATACTCTCTGGTTGATAGCACATGACGGGCAGTGTTTGCCTGTCATTGTAGGCTGGTAATGGGATCCATAAGATTCATTTAGCTGTTTTATACCAAGCAATAGAATACTCTCTTATTGATAGCACATGACGGGTGCAGTGTTTACCTTAAATTCATTCATCCGATTGATACCAAACGATAAAGACACAGTAATACCACACCATTACTTACCCTTTCTCTGGAAACAAAACAATAGATCTTGGTTCCTCCCCCTTGTTAGCCATCACCACAACACCTAAAGGCTTCATCTTCCTCAAGCTGAACACATTGATATCGTTTCGTGCGCTGTCCGTCCAATACATCTGGTGCCCGTATGGATCGATCGCAAGATCATAAGGAGCAACATTTGGATCATCAATCACTATGCTGTCACCCGAACCGTTCTCGAACGCTCTACGAATGGTGTTCGTTTTGGCGTTGATCCAGTACACATACTGAGTGTTGATGTCATAGCTCGTAGCGATGACGTCATGGAGCTTACGCAGTGGTAAGCTGATTTCATGGAAATCGTTGGAGTCGAAGATGAACCGACGGACGGATTCGGTGGTACTGTACAACATGAACGCTTTAGGAGCTACGAATAGAAATATAAAAGATGAAAATCCGCGACGTTATTGGAGTAGATTTAGTGTGAATGTGGGTGCACGGGAACTGTGACGGTGCTACGTTCAAGAACTTTGATTGGGGGAGCAGTGAGGACGAGCTCGTTGTCAGCACAAGAACATCATTGTCGTGCGCTATTCAACGTCTTTGACGCTGGCGCTTCCATTGGAAGTATTTATATTTTTTTCGTATCTGGAAGTAAAGTGGTGAAGGAAACGGCGCGCACAAATATAGTAGTTTTTACATGGCTGTGAAAAGTTCAGTGCTGTTAGCGTGCTGTGCTGTAACCGCGATGTTTTCTAGAATCTTTATTGGCTTAATTTTCCTTGCGCATTGTGATTGGTCTGGCAGTGCCGTGTTTATGCCGTGTTCCAGGCATTTGATTGGATGGAGAGTAAATTCCCGAGCAATGTTAATGGTCTGGCGTATGCCTTGCCGTGTTCGTACGGTGAGCTTTTCACAGTCATACGAAAACTTCTCCATGCCGGGTAGTGTTTAATAAATAATAGACGGCCAGTTTTTAAATGTGGTCCCACCATCCGCTAAAGGAACAAGTTATAGTCCTCTTAAAGAATCTTAAAGCTGCAGGTACGCGCCACGTTTTTTACGCTCACAGCGCATTTTTAGTTTTTATTTGTGCAGTCTTAACAACAATGTTCGGTATCTTACCTTCACAAGTCTTGTTATCAGGTAACAGTTTAAAGTGCATCGGGCAGCTGCATGTTCTTTGCTGTCCTGGTCTTACTAGACACAGATGGCTACAGTCACCATTGTTCACGAAGCACACGTTCCATCCTGGGAGAGTAAACACAGTCAAAAAAGTCTGCGCAAATCTTACTGCAGCTTTCGATATTCTGCCAACTCCGACGTTTCAACGGCTTGTTGTGAAAATGTTTTTGATTCAAGGCCCTGTTACACGTAGAAAAGTTTAGCTGAAACTTGCTTGCAACGGCGTTGCGAGACAAGTTTCACGGGGGTGTTACACGGCGCGAGAAAGTTTCACGAAAAGCAGAACTGCTTTCTACTCGTGCAACCGAAACTTGTGGCGAGAACAAGTTTCAGAACGAAATTCAGCTCTAAAATTTTCTACTACGTAAAGCAACAGCCATCCACAACTTTAACGGTTAAAAATACCTAATAATTAATCGATAGTCTGCAAAATTACTCGATCCTATACAACTAAAGACGCCTGAATTTTTTCGCAGTATTACTAATGCATAGTGATAAATTCAGTCAATTTAACCAAAATTAGTGTTATAAAGAAGTTTTGATCGATTTGGGTCGTGTAATTGTGTTTCTCCGTGTTTACAGCGTTGTTTCTGGGCTTGATCCCTAGCAGTTAGCGATAAACCCGACGCTAAAGGTCTTTATAAAATACGTACTTTATCATGCGCGCGCCATCGTCTTTAAAGTTGTCGTCCTTAACATGACGTACAAAAGCACCAAATAACACCTTGATAAGGAAACGAGACAGGACGACGACAGTGCGCGCATGGGAATTAAGACAACGTGCTAGTTTAGTTTATTGACCCACCTTCTTGTCTGGTTGTGTGGAAAACTATGATATCGTTCACATAATCAACTGCACTTCGCACACGCGTCCTGTTCAATCCTGTTGTCTTATTGGCTCGTTCGATTGATTCTGTGTCCCAGTCTGTCCAGTAGATATAATCCTTGAATTGCGTCAAGGCGTAGGGTTTTGACAAGGACCTTGCGACGATTCTCCTATTTCCTCCTGAGTAGTCTGTACACTCGATGACAGAGCTGTCGGTATCGACCCAGAAAATAAGGTTTTCTTTGTAGTCAAGAGTGATATCGTTGGGTCGTTTGACTCCTGTTATGATGAGAGTTCTATTCGAGCCGTCCATGTTTGCTCTCTCGATGCTCGGGTTATCGCCACCATTAGCCCAAAACAGGTACCTAAATAGGTAAAAAATATTAGGAATGGAGAGTAATAGTGACTGGATCCCGAACCACGCGTTATCTTTCCCCCGAAATCCCGCGACATTTTGCCAACTTTTTTACATTCAACACGTTCAAAGGCGTTTGGATTTTTATTATATTTATGCATGTTTTCATGTCGTTTTTCTCAAAAATCAGAAAGCAAAATGTCACATCCGGGACATTGATTTTTTTCCTAGTTTCCCGCATCCCGCGCTATATTTTATTCGTTTCCCGGATCCCGCGAATACTCTTCCAGACCCTTTATTACTGATAAAAACTCAAGCAACCATACCCATTCACTGGATCCAGAGTAAGAGACCTAGGTTCCCAGACGTCCTTATAAAACAGTGTCCTTCGATGTTGACCGTCAACCCTTGCCACTTCAATCTTATGCTTCCTGGAATCCGTCCAATACAGATTCTTAGCGATCCAATCCACAGCAAGCCCATCTGGTGATTCGAGGTCGACGATGATTAAATTCTCAGGGTTGCTCCCATTGAGAAAAGCACGGTTGATGGTTTTGAGTGAGATGTCGGTCCAGTAGATACGCATGTCTTTAATGCTAAAGTCCAGCGCGTTGGCTTCTTTGACGCCGATGAGTGGGATCCCTTTGTCACCACTGTACGTGTCAAGAGAGATACGGTGGATGTCTTTACTGCCGGMGAAGAGTAGAAATGCCTCGGGAACTGAAACAGATCATATAGAAGTTTGAATTAAGATTCATGGTTCATGATTCGGCCTCTGAGCTGATCTGAGTCAGGGCATGGCTAATTCAAAGATTAAAGCCTGAAACAACCTCTGGGCTGATCTAAGTCAGGGCAGGGCTAACTCACGCACTTTCAGTGTCACTTTCGCATCATTCCTATCCAAAATAACGGTAATCGTAATTTGTCTTTTAGAAAAGAAATATAAGACTTGCTTGCTGGGCTGTGTGGAGTTATAAAGCACTTGGGGATTGACAGAACTCGCGAGAAGTGTCCAGAAGCACTCCGCTACGCGTCGTGCTTCTCCTAACACTTCTCTCGTGTTTTGCCAACCTCTGCGTGCTTTCTAACTACACACAGTACGCGTTTTCTATTTCTTAAAATAAACTCACTGATGCATTTTTTCTTGTCTTTGAGCAGTTCCATACCAGTAGGGCAGCCACATATATGACCCGTGGGTCGGTTCAAACATAGATGACTGCATCCACCATTATTCTTTTGACAAGAATTCGAACCTGAAATAAACATTATAAAATAAATAACTGTTTAAAACCTCTCGTTCTGAGTGGCTGGGAGGGCGTGCATTATAAGACCACACGGCATAGGCGTGTACTTTCTATTTCGTTATTATAAAATACCTGTTATGAATCTCGCGTTCTGATTGGATGAGAGCGCGTGCATTATAAGAGCACACGGCATACGCGTATACTTTCTATTTCATTATCATAAAATACCTGTTATGCATCTCGCGTTTTGATTGGATGAGAGCGCGTGCATTATAAGAGCACACAGCATACGCGTATACTTTCTATTTCGTTATTATAAAATACATGTTATGAATCTCGCGTTCTGATTGGATGGGAGAGCGTGCATTATAAGAGCACACAGCATACGCATTCACTTTTTATTTTATCATTTGTGTCCAAAATAGACGATACTCTAATCCATATTTTATTTTTTAAAAATGAAAAACTTGTCTGCTGTGCTGTGTGAAGTCATAAAGCAATTGGGGATTGGAAGAAAACCTATGAATCGTTTTTTACCTCTCTAAACACTTCTCATGCGTTCAAATAAAAGCGTCTAGTGACAGTCCCATACGACTTTGCGCGACAAAACTCTCCCAAGTCCACCACTCATTAATAGAATGAACGCTTTTTTAAGCGCAGACTGACTTACCATAAGCAATGGTCAAGTTGATTGCTTTCAGTCCCATCAAATCCGGCAGATTCTCAATCACGCTCTTTCTTCCTTTTCCCGTACGTTTATGGATCATATCCACATTCCTCCTCTGCCAGTCTGTCCAGTACAGATACTCGCCCAACACAGTAAGCCCAAACACGTGCGGCAGATTTTTATTCAAGACGACTCGACGATTCTTCCCACTGAAGTCCATAGCTTCTATTTTATCTAGCTTGGCATCGACCCAATAAAGTTTTTGTTCATCATAGTCAATGGCCAATCCATTTGGCCATATTATTGAAGTGTTGACTAGTACCAGTCTATTGCTGCCATCTAGGTCCGCTCGTTCTATTTTGGCGTTCTTGCCCCAGTCCGTCCAGAACATGTACCTGAAAAGTAACCACATTGAAATTGGAGGTTTTGCTTCAAGTTAAAAGTTAAATGCGTAGTGGTTTCCAGCTATTCAGTTCCTTCAAGAAACTGCCTTGCCGAAGAAATCCTAATACCGCGCAGATAATTGAAATCTTTTTTGTTCACGAGTTTTCTTGTGATATCGCGAACGAGCGAGTCTGCGAGAGAGTGAGCGATATCATATGGGAGACGAGTGAATAAAAACGATATCAGGCTCTTAACATGTAATGATTTGTTTATTACACAAGTAGGCTCGATAAAACGACAAAATTTACAGTTTCCAGTTTACCGCGAAGTGATATCGTATCACTTCACTGCCGGATACGGTTTTTATTCACGGCTTTTTCACATTGATATTGAACCTAAATATGTAACAAGAATCTAAATGATTCGCACTTACCCTCTACCGGGGTCCACTACAATAGCTCTTGGTTCCCTCAACCCTTTAGAGATAAGAGCCGTACGAGATGACCCATCAAGTCTGCTAACTTCAATCCGATCCATACCCGTGTCTGTCCAGTATAGGTTACGAGCAATCCAGTCTACAGCTATACCGTCTGGATTCTGTACCTCGATCGATGCGACCACTTCTACACCTAGTATAATAATTATAACGTCTTCGTTAAGACAGGGTGACACGTGACAGTTGTAACTGATAAACTTGAGGCCCTCTATGTTTAACGTCTTTGAATAAGACGGGACCACCATTTTATGTGGTTATCCGAGCCACGGCAAAGGTCTAATCATTTGCAGATATTTTTTAAAGCAAAAGCAGGACCTTTTACTCAGATATTTTAACACCCCGAGTGTGAGTCTGGGAGCAGAGGTCGAACCCACGGCCTCCCGCACAATAGACCGGTACCCAACCAGCTGAGCTAGCCGGGAGGCAGAGAATCAGGTTTAAAAAAGGAATGCCAATAGTTCGTTCAGAATACATTTGTGGTACGTTTGCTTGTTTATAAACGAACGTCATTTATTCTACAGTACCTGTGCCATCAATACGAGCCCTCTTGATGTAATCATTTTGGTCGTCACTCCAGTACACGTATTTTTCTACAGGGTCAAAGTCAACCGCCATACCATGCTTGATTCCCGTCAAGGGTAACACCACGTCCGTGTGGTCGGGAGTATCCAGGGATATCCGACGGATATCAGTTCTTCTGGCCAGCAAAAGAAAATGTTGTGGTCCTAATGATGTTGAGAGATAAGATCAAGTTAGTTCTCACGAGGACATGGCTAACTCATAGATCGAACCCTGAAACAACCTCTGGGCTGATCTAAGTCAGGGCATGACTAACTCACAGATAGAACCCTGAAACAACCTCTGGGCTGATCTAAGTCAGGGCATGCCTAACTCACAGACAGAACCCTGAAACAACCTCTGGGCTGATCTAAGTCAGGGCATGGCTAACTAACAGATTGAACCCTGAAATAACCTCTGGGCTGATCTAAGTCAGGGCATGGCTAACTA